AGAGGCAGGAAGAAAAAGGAACAGAGAGGTTTTTTGACCTGGGATTTTTTGGATTTTGTTTGGTGACGTTGAACTGTTATTATTTTAGTAAAATATTTAGACCCAACAATAAGAAGATAGGTTGCTTCATCTGCAGATGAAGAAAGCGATGACGAAATCAATCGGTTGGAAATAATTTCCTTCTGATATATCGACGAATAAAAAATAGAAACGCCTTGCTGCAATGTACACTTTCACTAATGTTTGCATGATTTTGATTTAGTTTGCTATTGTCATCATTTTGTTGGTCCTCTTTTCATCGTTTTAAAATTTTTCGTTTTGATAACTTGTTATTGCATCGCATCATTCTCGTTTATTTGATATTACCATAGTGTTATTTTTTGTGATCATTTTGAAGTGCCTTGTAATTGTTATCAAATTTTCCTTCAGTTAAGGTAAAACTTTCACCTTAATTTTTTTTGTCCTACACGTCTTGATTAAACTAACTGTTGAATTACTTGCAAGGATAGGCGGGTAACTATTTAACGATTTCTTCAAAATTTTCAAAGTAGAGAAAGTAGAGAGATCAAGTGCGGGTGTTCTGCTAACATTCTGAACATGCGAGTTTAGCTAATAAAATTATATACTTCGTATTTTTCCGGACGACAGTCCTACTCAGATTTGATGAGGAACACCTGCTTTGTTCTTTCGTTCTTTCCTGAGATGGATGGATTAAGTTTCATTAAATTTCAAATTTCACAATTTGATTAGCAGAATCATTTATTTCTGAACTATTAGTTTCAGCAAAAAAACCATTACTAAATGACGATGAAATTCGAAAAATGAAAGAAGAAGAAACTAGAAAAGTTGCGAGCGGATCAGCACAAATATGCTTCAGCCCTGCAGATGATGATCTCGATCGTTCATTCGAGCATATTCTCAATAATAGGTTTTCTCATTTTCTGGATTTCAGTAATAAAAGTATAAAATTGCGCGCCCTGCTCGCATCAATTGTCCAAGCCTAAAACTTAGAACTTTGCTTTCGACGTAAATGCTCACAATTCCCATTTTGGCTTAACTGTTATATTGAATAAAACGCTCATTCATGTTGGAGTTAGTGTACGTTGTATAAATACGAAGGTGAATAACATTGAATTATCTCAACTGTTCCTTATATATTCTCGTTCATACATGCTAGCCATATAAATCGCGGAAGTTATTCGCAAGTAAGGCTTAGTTTTTCTTGGGACAGTCTTTGCTGTAAACTTTTATATGTCATAAATTACCCTTTTTGGTTTTTTTGGCCCTCAAACCGAAATTCACATCGCTGTCTTTCTGAAATTTGTAAATCATTTTTTCTTTTTGATGAACTGCAAACGATTTTTGTAGTGCCGTGCCTCGCACAATGCCAGCTGTAATACGCACAAAAAAAGCCGAAAATCGTATGGCAGCGTGTTCTCCATCCCCGATTCTGAGCGGCGAACCATTAAATTCAGTTGAACAGCGAGCTATGGAGCATCAAAAACGTCAGGAATGGCGGCAAGCTAGGTAATTTACTGCTTCAGATGAAGAAAATTGCTTGATACAATTAGTTCCTTATCGTATGAATCACTGTAAGCAGCTTTCTCAAATTTCACGGAGGGGAGAGGAGTCAATATTTGCAATGTTAGAACACTTGCTCAATTTGCGAATTTTTACGCTGAAAGTAGTCTTACATTGCGAAAGCAATTATATATATATTTTTTCCACATTTACTCTTCAGGTTTAAATCTCTGGAAGCTGACTCCAAAGCAGCGGAAGAAGTAATGCAACAGGTTGAGCAAATTAGCAGCGTAAGCTTGTTATTCGTGAGAAATTGAAATTTTAAGTCATGTGCTTTTTTCCCTTCTTGTAAGGAAATGAAATAAATAGTCATAATTTCTTGCAGAGGTTGGCAAATATAACAGAAGAACACAGCAATTCTTCTTTACCAGTAAATGAGAAGATTTTGCAAAATGAAACGTCATTTGAAAGAAATGAGTATATCGATCCAGTCACTGGTGATACTACTGTTTCACTTGTTGAGAAAAGCATTACTCAAAGAGAGGTGAACTATTCGACGTAATTTTCACGAAGAATTTTTTTCTCAGTATAATTTTGGAAAAGCGCAGTATTGAGAAAATCACTGTATTAATATTTCCTGTTTTATGAATATTTTCTGCTTCATACTAGTAGAGTGATTCATTGATGCGCTCTACTCATCACAGTGATCTAAATTTAAACACCACTATATGTCTACTAAAAATCAACTTTTAGGGGAGCTTTTTTTCCTTTTTTTGTTGCCGTAATTCTTGAGTAGTCTTGAAAAAGTGTGTTTTTTGCTTCTAAATCTGGGCCGTATTATTTTTCAATTTTAGAATATCCCCACAGTTTCGTCCTTCTTTGAGGTTAAGTAACGAAGAAGCATAAATCTTTTTCTTATCGCCTGATCTTATGCATATCTGCTTGTGGGCTTCCTGGAATTGATATTCCCAAAGTGACTCTCATTTTATTGCGTAATATATTTTCTGATCATCTCGATTATAAATTGAAATTAGTAATGTATTTGCTGGTAAGTCGAGAAAAATATAAAGAGTATTGTTTTATCGATTATGCAGCATATCAATCAGATATAGATGAATTGGCTTTATCGACTACTTAAATTCCTTTTTCATATTTTTTGTTTCATAAAATAACTACATTTATTTTAGATAAGCACACCTTCCACACTGATCGATGATTTGAATACAGAAATAGCGAATAATTCGAAATAAATGTCGTTACTCAAAACTAATAATAAAATATGAATTATGTTATGGTTGTGCACTACAGTTCGCTATGATTCAGGGAGCTAACTGTTGTCTGATTCAAACCTATTTTATGAATTTACGATTTTTATTCACGATGTTTCAAATAATTAACTTTTTTAGTATCATTAAAACATGCTTACCGGCAATATGCAAAACTTGTTTGACGAATTTACAATACTTCAGTTAATATTTAAATCAATGTCAATTTTTCTTTTTTATTAAAATTAATATAGCCAATAATAGCTACGAATTTGTTATGTAAACAAGGTTATTTTTGCTTTCATTTAGTATTTCGTTATGTTTAAATCATTGCTATCGTCTGTCATAGCATATTTCTGCAGAGGAAAACAGGTTGACATTAGATACATTTTTATGAAGGAAAATAATTTTGTACTTCACTTCCCAGAAATGAAATTGAAAACGATCACGAGCAGTTTTCTGATATTGTTGCTTAGTTACATGAAATTTACTCAGTAGCAAAAGCTGTGTGCTTTATATGTGTTGTCGACAATTTGTATGCAAATGCCTCAATGTGAAAGAAGAGCTGTGTTATCTAGTTAAAAGTGCCTCTCCTTAGTATTTTTTTTGTCACTTTTTTTCTTTTGGTTATATATGTGACAGTAATTCGACTAGAGATTATTTTTTCTCGTATTTTATAACCAAATTATTTCTTAATAGTAAAAGCTCGTTTTATTGTATTGTTTAAATCTAATTTAAACTAGAAATTTAGCTATTCAGGTTATTCACCTGTTACTGCCACATGATTCCATTAACGTGATGCGGAATGATGTGTTTGAAATGTTGATTTCATCTCACTTTTTATTATACTTTTGTAAGCGAGGTGTTCTGCTTCTCATTGCAGCAGGTAAAATATTTAGCAGATTAGGTTATCAGTGAGAAAGAATGAAACCTGAATATGTCAAATGTTCAAAGACCAGAATTTGTAACTAATTTCTTTGCATAACTTATCAATGGATGATTTCTCATGCAATATCTGCAAAGCAGATATTGGTATTTCTGTTACAAGAAAAAGAGATTTCTTTTATTATCTATCCTGTCCTTAGGACAAGTGAAATTTGGCGCCAACTGATGATTAAATTGATGAACTTCCTACTCAAGTGCTGTAATTTTGCAAGGTTAAGCTTGTTTACTCTTTTGAAGTTTAACTCAGCGATTCCATGGTTTTATATCAGTTATCATGCCGGTTGTGAAAACTATCGATTGATTGGATTGTGATTATACTTCTTTGTTCTCATTGTTTATGGAGTGGTCAAGTGCAATCCCGAAGTTTCACTCACTTTAATTTAATACTGCTCTGTAAATTCTGTAAAGTTTCGAAATGATATTTATTATTCTGTTACCATTATGATGATTTATACTGAAGTGAATAAAGAAAAAAGTCATTGCCTACAATCACTACTTAAACTAATTTACATACATTGATATAGGTGATGTAGGTCAATGTCAAGTTGATTATTTCGATTTCGCTAAATGCATATGGTTTTGTAGGCATGATTGAACGGTGGTTTAGACTTATTAATTTTGGTACTTCTTATATGGAACAAGGTTGGTTATGCACCTATGATTTTAACTTACTCGAAAATTAGTGGTTATGAAGTTGTCTCATTTCCGTTCGTTTGACTTAAAGTACAAAAATAATCCTAAACAGTGAAGTATATCTCTTTAAATTTTCTTTTTAAAAAGTGGGTTGGTGAGCTATACGGCGATATATATATATATATATATATATA